CAGCCACTCACTCCAGGATACCTGGGGTATGTGGGCGGCTGTGATTTCTCAACTTGGAAGCAAGTGAGGTCTGCAGGCTCCCAGCTTCTCGAGTCACCGAATCCCATCTGTCACCACGACTTGAGCCAATATTCCAAGGGAGGAAGCAGCCCAAATGGAGATGCTGCCGGTCACAAGCTAATCGAAGGGGAAGAGGCAGCATGAAGGCGCCTTCAGGAAGGGGGGCTGCCCCCACCAGCAACGTCAGGCAGCCTGCGAGACACGCCTGGCTCACAACTCAGCGTGGGGACAGCCCAGGGGACCGACGGCCTCTGGCAGCCCATAGAAGGGGTCTCAGGTCGGCCAGGGTCCCCAGGAGGGCAGGCTGGGCTTGTCCATCCAACCACGGCCCTGAAAACCACTGAGAAAGTTAGACTGAAAAGGAAAGTAACAAGACCCATGTCTGCAGAGCTGGAAATATCTGGTAAGAAATTACGAGGCTAAAATGAAGAGAAATGATGGTGGAGATGAGTCAGCCCCTAACTTGCAGTTTTCCTGGCGGGGTGGGGGGGGTCTAAATACTGCAAACTTGGCATTTCACAAGAACGCAAAGGGGAGGACCCGTGGGACCGGCGGGACCCCATGTGGGGCATGGCCTGGTGCTCCTGGAGCCCTGGTGAGCAGACCCTATCAGCACTGGCCTCCAGGGGGCGCTGCGGACACTGGCGGAGACAGATGTCTGACCCGGTGCTGCCCTGGCCCGTGGGCCGGAGCCCAGGCCTCCCGTCTCCAGCTCCCAACGCCACCTAACAAGCAGGACTCCGCGGTCTGCGGCGGGAAAGCCACCTGTCACCTGCCGTGCCTTCGTGGGCCTGTGGCCTTGGTGGTTGGCTCTGTGGAGCGTGTGGGGTGGAGAGAAAAGGTGGACACAGCTGTGGGCACAGCGTCCCGCCGGCCCCCAGCTCCTGCCTCCACACCCTGTAAAAATCGAGGCCAATTTAACATGCCCGGCTGTTAATCGGGATGATTACGAAGTGGAGATAAAAATGAGAAACTCAAGCTGCCTCGGCCCCTGGAGCGGATCTCTCTCTCCCCCGGCTTCAGCCACCCCCCACCCCCCACCCACGCTCCAGAGAACAGCCAATTGCGTTACGCCGGGCCGTCAGGACTCCCAGGCACCGGAACTAATAGCTTATTGTCAACAGCGAAGACACTGACAACCCTTCTGAACGACAAAGTTCTGAATATCCTGTGGTCGGGGCAATGGCTGTAAAACATATTCTCACGGAGACTAACATAGTGTCTGATAAATCTCCATACATAATACTTGTGTTCAGCTCATATGAATATAGGGCCAAAGTGCGGGGATAAGGGACGTCAGGAAACGCCTGCAAATGCACTTCCCGGCTCTTCCTTGCACCTGGTGAAGCACGTGGAGGCTGCAGAAGGTCACCCGGCCGGCTCCTCCCCGGTAAAGGCCGACCCAGGCCCATTATTGCCGGGGAGCAGGCACAGCAGCCTCCGGGATTCCTGCCACCTCAGCGGCAGCCCGGCTCAGAGTGAGCCTGCCCGAGAGGGTCAGCCACCTGGCCCGGCCTCCCCTCGCCCACCCCTGCCTCCAGCAGTGGGTGACTGGGTCCCTTCGGGCTCAGTTCTCTGCTCCGACCCCAACAGAGGAACATCCTGGGAAACTCTCACCCCTCGGGCCCAGCCCAGACCTGGGGTCACAGACAGGAGGGGACCTTCAGGGAGGTGACCAGGTGGGATGAGATCACTGGGAGGTCCCGGGGGGGGGCTGGACGGCGGGAAAGACCACCTCCCAGTAGGCCCACAGAGGGGCACCGAGAGGAGGTCTCCTCACCCTGGAAACCCAGCCCCCAGCCTGCAGGACTGGCATCTCTGCTGTTTAAACTGCCTGCCCTGCGGTACGCGTCCCAGCGGCTGGACCTGACCAGTGCAGCTCCTGAACTTGTGTCCCCAGCACAGGCTCCACGGACCGGCCCCCTGGCCGCTGGCCAATGCACCCAGTACACTCTGTTGGCCCCGTGTCCGGGCCCACAGCCCCTTTACAAGGGGTCCCCTCCCGTGTCCAGAGCGTGAGGCCAAGATCCCCGACGTCTCCAGGTAGCAGCCCCGGGTGTGCAGGGTCGGCCGTGGCGCCAGCCTGCACTGCACCGGAAGCAGAGGTGTGGGAAGCCGAGCCCGGCTGTGACCCCTGAGGGTCGTGTGTGCCCTGCAGACCGGGGCTGGGGCGGATCCCCGGGAGGGCCTGACACGGCCCCTCTGACTTCTAGAAATGACCTCCCTCAAAAACCACAAATCCACCCAAACTGCAACCCAGTGTCCCCGCCCCCAGATCCACTCCAGAATCACCCCTCCACAGGGGTCGTAAGAACTCGTCCGGAGGTACCAAGGGATGGGCGGCCGGGTCGGCACAGACCGTCCTGCCCGAGCTGAGGAGGGCCAGGCCGGTGCCCGAGGCGAAGGCCTCCACCTGCCCACCGCCTGCAAACACGCACCTTGACCTCATGGGGGCTCAACACCAAAGGGGACAGAAGTAAACCCCAACAGCCACAGGAGAACTCCCTGCGCCCCCACAAGGGGTGTGGACATTTTCTTAAAGACAGGAGGGCTTGAACATGCAGACCACCGAGGGGACCGTCTCTCCCTTCCCTCCCCACCCAGAGTTCGCAAGACTGGGGCCCGGTTCCCTCTCAGAACGGTGAGCTACGGAACTATTCGGGAGGCCGACTCTCGTCCCTGAGCCTTTTCCTTGCCCAGCCTGCTGAGTGTGGAAGCAAGCTTGTGTGTGTGTGTGTGTGTGCACACGAGGCAGCTCCCTCACGAGTGTTCTCTCCTGGGTGTGTTCGTTCTGCGAGTGTGCAGCATGGAACAGGCCTCCGCAGAGGCCCCAAGACTCCCGGGGAAGGTCGTGGCCGAAGGCGCAGGGGGAACCGGGGAGGGCGTCCTGCCGCTGGGCCCCTGCCTCCCCACCAGCTCTTCCAGCCGGGGGAGGCGTCAGGGACGCAGCCGAGGCCGAGGAAATGTGAGTGATGAATCCGTTTCGTTTTGGGTTTCGCCCTCTCCCATCTAACTCGGCTGCATTAGTATCGGGTGGAAACTCGGGAATCAATTTCATGTTTCCTCGACCTAAAATAGAACAGGCGGTGCTGGAAAGGGCAGCCCCCCCGCCCCCGCCCCCGGGAGGTTTCTCTCTGCCGTCCTTCCTCGTCCTTCACTTGGGGCATCCGGGCCCGTCTGGAGGCCTGAGCACGGTTTCAGGTGGCTACTCCTGTACCGGTCCCTTCTTAGGGACCTGTCTGGGGTGTCACATTGGGGCTCTCTTGTCATTTCCAGCAGCAAATACTGAATGACCCCTGGGTGAGACGCGGGGCTACAGAGGTGGCCTGAGAGGGGGCAAGATAGACTTGCCAAAGAGAGTGAGACCGGGGAGACAGAGAGACAGGGACAGACAGACAGGGAGGGAGAGACACAGAGACAGACAAACCGACGGAGACAGAGGGACACAGAGGTGGGAGGCAGTTGGAGAAGCCGGTGGGAAAGGAAGGAGGGAGGAGGCAGGGGTTGGTGTTGGGCAGGAGGAACAGAGGGTCGCCGGACCGGGGAGGGGCGGGGCAGCACCGCGTGACCTCCCCGAGGCTACCTGAGCAGCCGAGCCGCGCTGTTTTATGTAACCACCCAGTTGTCCCCAAAACAGACTGTGACACCCTGGCAAACACTCTCCAGTGAAGCTGTGCACCCCTACGGGGCACGTGTCGCCCCGGACGAGCCACCCGAGTCACCTGACCAGCAGCCGAGTGGCAGCTGAGCTGAACTCTCCTCCCCTCGTGGCCTCCGCTCAGCAGGGAAGACCAGGAAAAGCCACAGGGCCTTTCAAAACCGCCTCCGAGCAGCACCAGGGGGCCCGGGGGGGCGGTGAGAAGGAGCCCAGGCACTCCGGAGGGTGCCCTGCTTCCCCCCTCGGGCAAGCCTGCCAGCTGTTCCTGAACCTTGGGGGCCTCGAGACTCCAGGTCGAAGGGTCCTGCCCGGGGCCAGGCTGGACACCCAGACCCCTCGCAGCAGGGCCTGGTACTGATGCTTCAGGAGGCTTTGCCGGGGCTGCCGGTACAGAAATCAGAGGGAGAACCCATGAACCAGGCACACCAACTTTCCTCCTTCCTCCAGAACCTGGCACGGAGCTGCGTCCCGAGGGAAAGAACGCAGTCCCACCTGCCGTGGCTGCGGCTCTGGCCCCGACCCCCACGCTGTCTCTCAGCAGTGACCCAAGTGGAACAAGCAGCCCCCACCAGCCAGTGGGCTTCTCACAGACGCTCCCATGGGCACCAGCGCCCAGGCACCAAGGCCGCCGGGCTGCCTACGCAGTTAACACCTTCCAGGCCCCTGCTGGGCCCCTGAGCACCTGTCCACCTGACGCGGCTCCTGCAACTCCACACCTGAACCCCAGCACCTTTGGAGCGAGCCCCGGGCAGCCCTCAGAAGGGCGGCTGGATGAGCCCAGTGGTCGGGGGGCCCCTCTCCCCACCAGGAAAAGAGTGCCAGGCCAGCAACCTTGGAAGGGCAGCATCACCCCGCCCCGCCCTGTGCTTGAGCCCTGACCCCCAGCGTCGGGGAGGGGGACAATGCCCCACACGCTGGCACCTGGGCAGTACCTGCTCTGGAAGCAGGTCCCACAACCTCTCCAGAAGTTCCCACAAGTCCTCTCAGGGGATAAGCTGGAGTCCCTGCGTGTTTGGTGAGGGATGGTCTCGGGTGTCCCTGGTGTGGCTGGGCGAACCAGCGGGGGTCCGGGCCAACGCCCTCTGCTAAGGGGAGCCCTTCTCTTCCCGTCTGTCTCCGCGCCCCCTCCGCAGTCACAGAGGCTCCACCCCCGCCCCTGCTGGCCTTCCGGCCCCTGGGGCCCCGCAAGTTCCAGCGTCCGGGACAGAGTGCAGGGTCCCGGCTCAGGGACAGTGCTCCCCACCCTCGCGCCTCCCAGTCCCAGCGGGACCGGCCTGCTCACCGTTCAGCTGGTTGTAGACCACCTCCTCCAGGTGGTCCAGGCGCTGCAGGATGGCCTCGCGGTCGGCCAGCGCGCCCGCCTTGGCCAGCCGGCTGCGCACCCGGCGGTCGGCGCTGCGCACGAGCTGCGCCAGCCCCTCGGACCGGTCCTGCAGGCGGCAGTACACGGAGAAGAGGATGATGCCCACGAACACCAGGATGTTGACCGTCAGCAAAGTTTTGATCTTCCTTGCCACCGCCATGAACGCGGCTGGAAGCCGCTGGGGGCTGCCTCACCCACGGGGCACCTGGTGGGCCCGGCCGCTGGAGACTCCGCCCAGCCCGCCGCTTCGGGGGACCATGAGCCCCCCGGCTCGCTGTGGGGCCACGGGGGCAGCGGGCGCGGCTCTGGAAGGGGGTTTGGGGGGACTGCGGGCCGGGGCTGCGGGCTGGGGGAGGGACTGTGGGCTGTGGGGAATCTGCGGGCTGGGGCTGCGGTTGAGGGGCTCAGCGCAGAGGAGGGGGCTGCGGGTGGGGCTGCGGGCGTGGGGAGGGGCCGTGCGCTGGGTCGCGGGGCCGGGAGCTGTCCTTTCAGCACCGCCGCGTCCGCTCAGAGCGCCCCGCCGCCGCCCGGGTCCCCGCGCGCAGGGGCTGCCCGGGATCGCGGGCGCGGGGCGCAGCCGGCATCCTCCGCAGAGGGGCGCACCCCGTCTCCGGCGCGGCGGGGCGGGTCTGGGGGCCGGGGAGGTGAGGGCGGCGCGGGCCGGGCGGGCGCTCCGGCTGCCGTGCGGCTCCTGCCCGCCCCGCAGTCACGGCGCCGGTGCGGAGTGACGCTGCCGCCCGGCTCATCAGCATGCACGCGGCGGCTCTGCGCCCTCCTCCCGCCCCCGCGCCCCGCTCCCGGGCCCGGACCGCCCCACGCAACCACCCCACCCGCCCCCACGGGGCAGGGTGCGTGCGCTCTCGGGGTCTCCAGCCTCCCAGCGGGGCAGGCCAGGCAGGGTGGAGCCGCGCGCTCTGGGACCCGACCAAGGGCATCGCGCCCGGGCGCGGCGGGGGCGGAGCCATCGGGCCCTCCCCCCCCCCCCCCGCCCCCGCGCGTCCCCAGACTCGGGATAAACCCCAAACTTGACTCCAATCAAACTTGACCCTGGTCAAGGCTGTGTTGACTTCATCACTGGCGGGGGCGGGGCAGGGAGGGGGCTTGGGGGACCTTCGTGGGGAGGAGGGTGGACAGCGGGACAGGGCCACCTTGGTGGTCTCCCCGCTTCCCGGAGCCTCCTTCCCCTCCCAGATCTCTGGGGCTGGGGGCTGGGAAGGGCTGCGTTCAAGGGCAGATGGACTGGACTTAGGATTTAATGGGACCCAGGGGCACCACCAGGACAGGGGCCAGAGACCCCTGGACATCAGGGGGTTCACGTCAGGTCCCCTCTGGCCCCTGGTTCAGCACTGTCCCCACAGCCACGTGTCTTGACCTCCCCACGCCAGCCTGTCCTGCGCCTCTGGGTCGATCTGGCAGAGCAGAAAGGCCCATTACTCAGCTCCCTGTGAAACTTTCTTTTCCATCTCCGGACTTTTTGTCTCAAGAAAGACAGAGGGTGGTCCCAGGTGCTGGGACGGGCAGCCGGCTGTCCTCAGAGAGCGCACTACATGAGCCCCGTCTTCCGAGAGCAACCTCGGATTTCCGCTTTTAATTATCACTCCAGGACGGCCTTGGATGCACGGGCGGGCGGTAAGCACAGGCCTGGTTTTGATCGGCAGCCTTCCCTGCCTGGGAAACACCGATTTTTTTCTGTTTATAAAAAGCCAGTTTGCAAGGACAGTCTTTGAAATAATACCTCGAGCAGCTCACAGTCACGCAGCCGTGGGAATCTGCCGGTCTTTGTTCTCGGTCCCTGATGGCTGTGAACCCATCGACACTGACAGCTACTGCACTGGGCCACAAGCTGCTCCGGCCTAATGCTACAAGTGGGGAAACTGAGTCAGCGGGAGGGCGGGTGCTTTGCTGAAGGTCAGGTCACTGGCAGGTCGGGGATCTGGGACTCAAGCCCAGACAATGAAGCTCTGCAGTCAAATTTCTCAGCCACCGTCACTCAAGAAGAAAAAGAAATCAAGCACTTTTTATTCCATGTTTTATTGAAAGTGACGTTAAAGTGGTTTTGCAGGCGAAAACATCATTTTGCTCCTGTAACGACATCGTTCCGCATTCTAAATTTCGGTGGCAACAATGCATCCCGACAGGCAGCGACCTGTGGCTAAATTCCATTCACAACAGGCGCCCAGTGACTTGGGGGGACATTGGGTGTTGCCCTGCAAACAGGGGATTCACCTCACAGTCCAGCAAGCCATGGTTTTTCATTCGGCTTTTCCACACGCTGAGGTCTGAGCTGTGAGCGGTGAGCTGGGCCGCAGTGACGAGGCCCTGCGGGGTGCCTGCCGCAAAGCCCTGGCCCCCCCCACCCCGGGGCGACCTCGGTGGCCACAAGTGTGAGCTGGCTCGTCCCCATAGGAGGAGCCCTCCCTGGGACTGCAGGTGGCTGGTGGGATGGTGAGACTGGGCGCAGGACCCCAGAAGAAGGCGCCATGGACATGGGACCGGGTTCCCGCAATGCTGGGCTCTTCGAGGTCAGAGGCCGAGCTCTGCTGGGTCAGCCTGGGTGCCGTCCACGCTGAGCAGATGCCTCCGAGTTGGGCCTCGCTCTTTGCTTGGACCACAGATGGAAACTCAGGAGCCCCCGATGGGTCCTTTCCTGTTTCCTGGAGAAAAAGCATTTCCCGTTCCCGATCCCGCCCGGGCATGTGGCATATGCCGTGTCTCGCCACAGACAGGTGAGGCCTGGGGCTCCAGGGGCAGGGCTGTTTCCTGCACACTCGGCACATCCCAGGGCCCACGGGGGCTTTGGCGGACACGGCACCCTGGGCCCGGCCCTCCGAGAGCAGCCCCCCGGAGTGCCTGCAGTGGCCGCTGGGCTGCGTGTCAGCCCAGAGCTGACGCTTGGTGTCCCCCCCACCACTGGCCAAATGTCCTGCGGACATGACGGCACAGACGGTGAAACGAAATTCTACCTTGACCTTGAAGATGTGGAGATCGTCAGGTGAACAGGGCTCCTGACCGGCACAGTGACCTTCCAGAAAGTCAGGGGTTTATTCCAACAGCTCGCCCCACACGCCAGGCTCCTGGGCTGCAGCCGTGGTCACTGATAAGTTAGAATTTAATGTGACCGTGTCATAGAAGGGACAACCAAAACAGAGACAGGGCCACGCGGCCAATTTGGGTTTAGACCAAACTCATTGACCGGCTGAGATCTTGGGTGTTGGCGTCAGGTTCCTGGGCCGGGGTCCCCTGCGGGTGGACACTCGGGCTCCTTGATGGCGTCCCTCCTTGGGGCACTCAGTGTGCGGGTGGGACAGGAGGCAGACCAGTCGTGTGGGCCGTTCTCTCGAGTAACTGACCTCCGAACGCCAACAGCCCAGAGACAAGCAGGGGCTCAGGACACCTCCAGATCGAGCCCCCCGGCGACTCTGCCGCCCCCGACTCTGAGGAAGGCCGCAGCTCTGACTTCAAGCAGCTTTGAGGAGTCAACAGAGATGTTTGTGGAATCTGTTCATTAGCCAGGGCCCCGCTCCTGGACGTCCCCGTGCGACAGCTGGCGGGCCCACAGCCCATTACCTCGGCAGATGGGCCCGTCAGTCCGCAAGCAGGTGATGGCCCGAAGTGCGCTGAGCAGCCGGGGGGGTGGCAGAGGTTCCAGATCTGCCGGCTCAGCCACCCCTGCCTTCCCCCAGGCAGCGGTGACCGGTTCCAACGAGCCAGGAGAGGAGAGCAGAGGGCCAGCGTGAGCACAGGCCTGTGGCGGAGGGAGTGTGTGCGCGGGCGGGTGTCAGTGAGGGACAGATAGAGACAGACCGGGGGTAATTTCACGGGGAGTGGGGGGGTACTAACCGAAATGAAGTCTGGTGCCGTTTCCTGCTCTCCCTTCCCCCCAAACACCCTAAAAGGGCGATAGAACGGAACAGCTCCCCACTGGCTGGGCCACAGCTTCCCGAGGGGTCCTGGGCTGACCCAGCTGCCGAGTTACCGTGTCACAGTGCCGTCCCCAGTCTTGGGCAGTGACTGTCAGTGGGTCCAAATGCCTGTCCCTTGCTGGTCTCTCAGGTGGAAAACAAGCCTCTTCTAGGAAGCCTTCTCTTTCCGACTTCTCACTTTTTTACCAAATGCATGAAGAACGTTGACCAGGTGCCAGAACCCACCTTCTGCATGGGGAACAGAGAGGTTTAGTAACTTGCCTGAAGTCACACAGGTATCGGGGATGGGGCCGGCTTCAGCCTGGACGGTCTGGCTCCCGAGGCCAGCCTGCGAGCCCCAGTCGGAGCTGCCTCAGCCCTCACTGAGCCGCCGAACTCCACTCTTCCTTCTGCCGCCACAGAATGGTCTCTCCTGTGTGCTGCTGGCCCTTATGGCGACTTGTGCCTCCATCATGAACGCGAGCACCGCCAGACAGCCACTTAAAACGGCACCATCCGGTCACTTAGCACATGGACAGTGGAGGCAGGACGCAGCCACCAGATGGACAGAAGGTGACCCCAGGCCGGAAGCTGGCCGGTTCGTTCACTGCTGCTTGATTGTGGTTGTGGCCAGCGGGCGGCCGGGACCTGAGCTGCCCCCCCCCCCACACACACACCGAGTGGCCTGGGCTTCCTCACAGCAGGCCTGCCGGAGACTCGGTCCCCTCCTCCTCCAGCCTCGGCCAGGACTTGTCCTGGCTCCGCCTGGCTCGGGCCCGCATCCGGCAGGGACAAGCAGGTGTGGAGACGCATGGCCGCTGCGATTTCAGACCTCCGGCCTCCGGAGCCAGGGGAGGTACGTTGTATTAAGTGCTCCGTCTGTAGTAATTTGTGATGGCAGCCAGGGACACCCGTGGAAAGACTTTAAAACAGGAGCGAAGTGCCAACAATACCAACAAGCTCACAAGGAGCAGCACCGTGAGAGACGAAGGGAGGCCTGCGCGCCTGGACGCGCCTGCGCCTGAGCCCGTCACAGGGCCGGGAGGCGGCTCCTCCGTCCTGGGACGTGGTCTCCCCAGGGAACAGCCAGGACTTCACTTCCCAGGACCAAGCAAGGGGCAGAAAGGCTTGGCCCCGCGGGTGACGGCGGGAGTGTGGCCGGGTCGCAGGCCACCCCCGCTGCTGGGTGACATTCCTCTCCCACCAGGCCGAGCGCCACGGGAAGATTGATAACAGCCATTTGTATACAGGAGGGGGCTCCCGGCACGGCAGCCCCGCCGCCCCGAGTTCCGCTGTGTTCCGAGTGAGGGAGCTCCGTGTCCCCTAACCACACAACACCCTCCTCAGGAACCCACGCCCCTCGCACCTTCCAGGATGGGCTTGGGGGCGGAACCCCCCATGGATGGTGGTTGGCTTCCGAGACCAAGACGGTGCCAGCCCTGGGTGTCGCTCCCACTGGCCCGTCCCCAGAGAGCGGATGGATGGCTGCGTGGCAGAGATGGCAGCATCTGAGGCTCTGTGGAGGAGGTGACGGGTGGGGGGGCGCGGGCCCCTGTGCGGCCCCCACACCGGCAGCCGGTTCAGGCAGACCCCCAGAGCACCCGCGACAGCCTCGTCAGGACTCTGTGCGGGCGTCGACCTGCTGGGCCCGGTCGGGGCCCTGCGGCCACTGGGAGCCCAGCCTGGGCCTTTGCCAACGCTCAGTACTGTATAATTTAATCTAATTGATTAATTAAATCCAAATAATTTTCCAACAAGCTGTAATAACAGTTATAGGATTCCAGGACTACCTATAATTTTCTTAATGACTTTTATCAGAGGAAATCGTTTCCCGGGACTCGAGGCGGCTGGTCGTCGACCCCGTGGGTTCGCCTTGGTTGCATCCCCGGCACTGAGTCACGCACCGGCCGTGGCCCGAGGCGTGCTAGGTCACCGACCACCCTGCAGGGCTCCGCGGGCCCAAGTGGACACACGCTCGGACTCACTGGTCCCTGCCCAGGGCCAGCAGAGACCGTGGCCGTGGCTGCAATCGGTGGGTGGCTCTGTCCTCGGTGGTGGGCCGTCAGTGCGCACGGCCGGGCAGAAGGGATGGGAGGGAGCACAGGGGCCTCCAGCCCGTGAGCATCCGGCTGCTGCCCCTGGACAAAGGGACCCCCATGTCAGGGTCAGGGGCTGTCCCGGGCCGGCAGAGGGCTGGGGGTGGGGGCCGCGTCTCAAGCCACAGATGCAGCCCATCTGCCAAAGTTCTTTGGTTGCAGGCAACAGACTCTGACCCGGAATCGCTCGAGCAAGGTCGGTGTTTACAGAGAAGACTCCAGCGTGACTGGGGGGCAGCAAAGGACCAAACCAGGGAAGAAGCAGGAGCGTCCTCGATGTGAGCCCCAGGGCACAGAGCCATGAGGGGGGCAGACAGCCCACGTCACGGTGTCCCCTGGGGCTGAACAAGCGGCAGCCTTTCTCAGGCCCCTGAGGAAAAGGCCCCCCAGGACATCACCCCACAAGACCAGTGGCCCCAGGAGAAGAGGGTACAGTTTCCAGAAGTGGGAGGAATGGGTGTCGGCTGCAGGCCCCACCTACGACCCCGTGCGGAGCCCCCAGCCTGCCCCCCACCCTGTTTCTTGCTCCTGCTCCCCAGGTGAGGCCGTACAGGGGCCACCCCCACTGGGCACGGCAGGCGGCTGCCAGCGAGGCTCCAGCTCTGAGGGGGCCGAGCAGCAGCCCCTGTGAGTCCTCGAACCTCGCCACTGCCGAGCACTTGCTGCCTCAAAGGCGGCCGGGCCTGTCCGCTCCCCCAGGCCCCTCCCCAGCTCAGCACCCGCACCCCTGGCCCCACCCCCACCCCCAGCTGCGGACGTGGTGGGCGGGGCTGCGTCCGCTCATCCTCCCACGTGGAAGCCCAAACCGCACACCTCAGGACTCGGCCTTTATGCAGGCGGGGCCCTCGCAGGAATAACCGGTTAAGTCAGGGTGAGGTCGCCCCAGAGTAGGGAGAGGACCCCGATCCACATGACGGGGGTCCCTGGAGGAAGAGGCAGCCAGGACACAGACACGCGCAGGGGCGAGCCTGTGATGAGGACACAGGGGGACCCGGCCGTCTGCCACCACGGAGAGGACTCAAGAGGGGCCCAGCCCTGTGACACCTGGAACGTCCAGCCTCCAGGACCAGGGACAGTAAGAGCCCCGGGGCACTGACACAGCAGAGAAGGAACCTGGGGTCCAGGGGACAGCTCTGAGCTGGAAGGAAGGGCCCACCTGTCTGCTGCGCAGTGCAAGGAGCTGAGTGGCCCACCAAGGCGCCGGTGGCTGCTCCCCCGCTGGAGACGTGATCTCCATCAGCTGGCAGAGAACCGGGAGGGGCACGGTCAGAGGCGCCTGTCAGAGCCTCAGGGTGAAATTCCCAAGACTTCTCCTCAAAAGCAGCAACAGAGCTTCCCATTAATTCTCTGTGAGTGTAAACGGTCCCACAGGCTCCACTTACAGGCTTCCCTGGAACCGAGTTTTCCCAAAGAAGCTACATTTTAATTTGAATACAAACACATTGCACAGCAGGATCCTGCAACCCCCACCCGGCCTGGGAGAGGGGGGTCCCCCAGGCCTTAGACGCAGTGGGGAGAAGGGTTTGGAGAGGCCTGGAGCCCCTGGGGAAGGCCCGACCCACCTTCCTGCCCCCAGCTTTGCAGGGCTCTCCATTCACCTGTGTTCTTTGGCCTGTCAACACTTTTTCAGGATTTTGAGTCATTTACCAGTATTTGCAAATCAGGACACCCCACAGGTAAAAGGCTATTTGGTGTCTATTCCCGAATGTGGTTGCGTGGAGCTCCCCCTGCCTCGAGGGAAAACATGGACAGACCACCCGTCTCACCTCTGTTGGCTGAGGTGAGACCCACTCCCAGACCCAGGAACGTTCGGGACACATCTGGCCCTTAGCGTCTCCCAGGCGCTAGGCCCAGGGCTGGGTGTGGGGGTGGGCCCACACGACCAAAGGCAGGCCAATGGGACTCAGTCCTGGGGCTTTTCTGAGAAAGGTGGGCAGAGGGCGCTCTTTCCCCACCGTGTGCAAGTCTGGGGGAGGTGGGGGAGGAGCAGGGTGGTCGTCCCAGCAGCCGGGAGCCTGGCCGAGGACCAGGGACGGAATGTCCCAGGGAGGCAGGGATACCCTATGCAGCTCTGCCGAGTCCAGGCTCCTCCACTGGGTCTGCCATCTGAGCTGGGGTCCTGTCACTCACAGTCAAATCCATCTTGGTTCGCTCGTTTCCTGCCCTGGAAGATGCTTCTGGAAATGTCCTAGCCGTTGTGGCTTCTGCAGGGGGATCAGAGGTCACCTCACCCCTCAGTGTCAGTTTCCTTCTCTGAGAACGGGGGGGGGGGGCACACACACGCTGTTGTCAAGTGGCCTCCTGGGAAGCAGCGGAGTGGACCCTCGGGGTCTGAGTCCCACCCGGTCCCTCCCCCCACCTTGTCTGTGCTGGGTCCTCCGTGGGATCCCTGTTCAGTGAGAGCTGTACTCCCTCCCCGTCCCCGTCCCCTCCCCCGTGGCACCTCTCCCATGGCTTCATCCTCACAGTTGCCTGGGAAGCGCAGCCTTGCCCCTCTGGGGACAGGCTAGGACAGGGCCCAGTGTCGAGAGATCAGGCCACCAGGAGTATGCAGTAGCCTCCCAGACCACTGAGTAGCACAGCCCTGGGGTGGGCATGTGGGCTAAAGCCAAGGAACCACCCTGCCTCGCAAGGCGCTCTCAGCTCGCCTCAGCGCCTGCCCTCAGCTGCCCTGGTAAATAAATGAATGAGGCTTAGATCCGAGTCGGTTTGCAAACAAAACTGGCCCCCAAGGCACGACCCACAAACACTGCAAATAGTTAGAAACAGGAGTGAAATCAGCCCAGTGCTCCGGGCCGCTGTGCATGGCTGCTCTCACTACGGCGTCAGGCCCACTGGACCCTTAACTGTCTGTCCCCAAGCCCAGAGCCACGGGTCCCCTGCTTCCCACGCCGGGAGCACCGCCAGCAGAGTCCCACTCAGCTCTCCCGCCCCCGCGCTGCGCCTCCCCAAGCTTCCGGCTTTCCGACGCAGACGCAGACGTAGACGTAGACGTCGGTGGAACTACTCCCATGTGTCCCTTCGCAAAGAAACTGTTTCCCGAGCGGATGGATTTCAATCTCCTCTTTTGCTGCCCGAATCCCGACGTCTGGCACCTCCCGGGCTGCGGGTCCCAACGCTTCCACCTCACCTTCGACAGGTGAGTGCGCGACGTGTGTGTGCGTGGGGGGGGGGGAGTGGCGGGCAGCGAGGCCCTAAGACGAAGGAGCTGAGCGTGGGGGACAGCGGCGCAGGCCTTGGGCGCGGGCTGGGGCCCGGTCCGTCCTGTGCTCTTCTGACCAGCCGCCCTGAAAGGACTGCTGAAAACTGGCTCTGACCTCGGGCTGCCCCTGAGAGATGGCGACAGGCCAGGACTAAAACGGTCACCCTGAGTGGTGACCAGGGGCAGCCAGGCCCCTCAGAGGCCTTTTTGCTAAGCTTCTGTCCCCTTGTCAGATGCCGTGAAGGTCCAGATGATGCGAACACGCCAGCCCACTCAGGGTGCCTCATCTGTTAGCTGGCCGGCAAGGACGGCTTCCCCTTGACAGGTATGTGGAATGTCTGGCGCGATGCCCAACCAGGCTTTCTCAGAACGTGCCACTCTGCCTCTGTCAATCAGTGAGTGTCCCAGGCACGGAACGCTGTCCAAGGAGGCTGTACGGGAGGATCCGGCCACTTGCAGAGAGGGCAGGGGGTTGGCCCATCCCTGAGCTGCAGTCCTGGCCGGCCTTTTGGAAGAAGCAAACCCACAAGCTGAGCAGGTCTGCAGCACAGCTGGGTGGGCCTGCTTTCTCTCCTTTTCCACCTGGACACACAGCTGGACTACACTTCCCAGATTCCCTTGCTGCTAGGCATACCATGTGACTGAGTTCCGACCAATAGTATGTAAGCAGAAATGATGTGCTTCCTGTCCAGACCTGCACCTGGGCCTCAGTCTGTCTCCACTGCTGGTAATGAAGAGGATTTGGAGGGTCAGACACAGGAGAGCCTTGGGTCATTCAATGACCACTCAGGGTCCAGCCCACACTGCCACTGAGCCCCTGATGACCTACGTGCATAGTGACATGAGTTTTTACTACCCAAAGTAAATCTTGCTTGTGTTATAAGCAATCTTGCAGGTGTATCTGTCCCAGCAGGTGGCACACTTTTCACTTGCTGATGTAATGCTGAGTCCGCATCTGACAGGTTAGTCAGGACTTTAATGTGGCAAATGGCAGGAAACCCAACTCAGAGGGGCTTGAGCGGAATGAATGGGACTGATTAGCTCCTGTAACTGCGGCCTGAGGAGCATGTGGGGTGCAGGCATGGCTCGATCAAGGCACCACCAGTAGCAGAAGGTGCAAACACCGCTCCTGGCACTGCCCTCCAGACTGGCCTGGGTCAGCCCAGCTCACCTCTGTGGGGATCGGAAGGTGTACCCGCCAGAGTTCCCCTCGCCTCTGGCAGGGTCGTGTGTGCAGGGGACATGATCTTAGTTGTCCAGGCTGGGACACGCTGACCCTGCAGCTCTGTCAGTCACTCAGATCTCCAAACAGAAGGGCAGCTGCCACTGGAGAGTCACTGGCTCGTTCCAGGAGACACAGGGATGCCGGGGACAGAGAAGCAGGCCCAGCCTCCTCTCCCCTTCCTCTGGGCTGTGCCCTTGTGGGAAGCACCTCCCTCATTTCTAAATGGCCCCCAGGAGGGGGCGGAACCCCACTTCTACACTTCAAGGGTCCCAGCCCAAGTCCTGCCCTGGGGGTTTATTTTATCTGTAAGAAGAGCAAGGCTCTCTCTGGTGGCACTTGTGGGCGCTGAGGCAGGGACCTGTCCTGGCAGAGATGAAATGGTGGTGACGCAGACACTAAAGAGCGGCCCCACCCAGGGGCACCCCTTGACCCCGCAGCTTGGTCACCGGTCCCTGCTCTGAGTTCGGTACATTCCTGCTGTGCCAAAGTCAGTTGAAGTCCATTTCCCATCACCTGCCACCAAAAGGAGCCTACAGACTTGTTCCACCGAAGGAGGAGTTTCCTTCTCTGCTGTGAATAAAACATCAGGTTTGTCTGAGGTCGTTTCAGGTAGTCTGTGACCTGAACGAGACCCGGGTGTGCTTGGAAATGGCCCCATCTGCCACCTGGCGTCGGGCCCAGGTCCCAGCGCCAGCCTTGTGACGCTGCCAAGGGGTCCTCAGACCCCAGCACCCTGTTCCCCTCGATGCCCCAAAGCCACTTCTAGTTAAAAACAGCAGTGGCAACCGTCCCTGAAGTGGGCAGTTGGCATTTTCACCTGAGTTTTTTCCATCATACACAGAGGTGGGATGTTTGGAAAACGTGGCTGGTCCCGTCGGCCTCTGACGTGCAGATTCTATGAGAAGACAGTGTCACGCGTGTCCTCCGCACCCCCATGCCCGAACCCTCCTTGCTGGGTTCTCTGGAACCACCATGAGCCCCTCCTTGGGCCTCCATAACCCCCAGAACTCCGAACTCCGGAACAGTCAGAGCTGTGGCCAACAGACAGGGTTCCCCCCACACAGAGCAGCCCCAGGAGGGCGGAGTTTCGGGGACTTGATCCCCCACTGGTCCCACGTGAGCCTGCAGGAAGCCCAGGCAGGACCCCACCAACTGCCAACCTTGCCTCGTCCACAGGGGGAACGCCCATGAGGGGACAGACTCAGCGCCCATCCTGCTTTAGTGGGTCCCCCAGAGAGGGGTTTGAAGAGGGAGGAGGAGGGAAGGGCAGGAGCTGCCCTGCCACAGCGGAGAGAGACTTGTTCCAACTTCCCCGGGGGGCCGGTTCCACCCTGCAGCCCGCCATCTGGAACGTTCCGACTCGCACCCGCTGGCGTTCACTTGCTAAAACTTTGCATTCCTGGATCTGGGAGCAACTGTGTGTGGCAAATACACGCTCCCGTCATATGTTCCAGGGACACGGAACAGATTGCTCCTGGTCCTCAGAAAACACAAACCAAAAAAGGAAGGAGAGGCGGAGCAGCCTTTGCCAAACCCTCCTCTCGGAGGGGGGACCCTGGTGATTCTGGGAAAACGGAAAGCGTTATGGAAGGCGGGCAAGCCTGCCGGCAGGTGTGTCTCTGCGGTGCCAGGCTGGTGCCAAGGAAGGGGACAAGCCAGGGCCACATAAAGGGCTTTTTGGGGGGGGTGAGCAGGACCCCACCCCGGCGCCTGGGGGAGCCCATCTGCTGGGGCCTCGCCAGAAAAAGGGCTGGGGGACGAGGCTGCAGAGCGGAGGGTGGAGGCGGGACCTCCCGCAGGGAGTGAGTGGGCCCAGCTCCCAGAGGGCTATTTGATTAGTGATTACCCTAAGTTTGTAGAAATGTGACTATTTGATGAAACCCGCCCAACACTGTGTCTCCAGAATTGAATTTCTCTTGACAGAATTAACAAGTGAGTAAGTGAGTGTACGATGACCAAGGGGCAGACAGACTCCACCGGGAGGGAACAGGCTGGCTCACCGTGGTCTTTTCGTGGGGATGGGTCCCCAAACAAGGGCTGCGCACCCAAGCTAGGAATCGTCAGAGTGGGCATGTTCCCTTCCGGAAGCTCCCGCCCGTGGTCTTGACCCCACTCTGGACCCACAGTCGATCTTAATTGAACCCAAATTGCCCACAGGGACGGAGCAGGAAGCTCGGAGTCCAGAAGGGGCCCGTCCGACCAGACGTCTTCTGTGTCACCTAGGACAAAGCCGTTTAATTGTGCCATTATCTCTGAGCTTTTATTATCCTGGCCATCGATCTTCCCGGTTAATGAAGCCCATATAATTAAACGACCGGAAAGCTACGCCCGGCCTCAATGAACCCTCTCTCAGGCAGGACGCAGCCCCAAAGGAGAGCACCGCCCCTCAGCCTCCTGGCCTCTTCTGTCCCTTGGCTGGCCTGAAGGACACGGGGACACCGGGACGGCCCGGCCCTGACCCCGACCCCCGCCGAGACGGCAGGGTGGGCTGTCCCATCCCTGCTGACTGCGGAGTGCGGGCAGAAGTCCTGGTTCCGGTCACCGTGACCTCGGTGACTGTCTGTCAGCTCTGGAGACGCAGAAGTTGCCCTCTTCCGGTTTCCAGCGTCTGCTCCATCTCCCACCTGGACTCAGTCCTGGAGCTCCAGACGCCTGTTCCTTCTGCAGGTTCCGGACCCAGGGCCCCCTCTGCTGGCGACACAGCCCTGCAGTCCTGGGAGTCTGCCGCTCAGCGCACCACGCCCTGGGGGAGGCAGGCTCATTACTCGCGTCCCACTCGGGACCCCGGCGTGTCCTCTGCAGACGGCCACGGAGCAGGTGAGCAGGGAACTCGGCGGGACCGCACGGGCGGATGCGCGGGCTCTCCCCGTCCAGGCCGACACGTCCCAGAGACGGGCCCAGGGAAGGAGTGTTGCCGCCTCCTGAACCCGCCAGTACCTGCGTGTGCGCCCCCACCTGCCCCTCCACGGGCTCCCCCGGGCACCTGGCAGGCTCTTGAGGAGCCGGGAGCCTCCTGCACGAGAGTCGCAAGACACTCGCTTGATCACTTCCCTCCTCTGGCTCTGGGCGGTCACACCTGGGCCCTGTGTGGCGAGGGCAGACGAAGTGCAGTGGCTGCTGCAGTGCCAGGTAGGACGTTTGCTCTGCACGCCTCGCCCTGCGTGGGAGAAGGAGCGGGCGCAGAACGGAAGAGAGGCGTGCTGCATGCAGGGTGGGTGACCCTGGTCCTCGCCGGGCAGTGCCAGGACGGGGACGTGGGGGTCCCATGTGACCACACTTTCAGGTCCTCAGACGGCAGCTGGGGCCAGCCCCTGGGACATGAGGGATTATCGAAGCTGGCCCTCGGACGGGCCTCGGCCAGTGTGGGAAGGGGGAGCCGCTCGTCCAGAATCGACCCAGAAATTCACCCGCCCCACTCAGTGGGGGGAGCTGAGGTGCCCGGCCACCAGCCCCCTGGGTCTGTCCGCTGGCGCTGGGCTCCCCAGCCACGTCCCTGTCCCGGGTGCTGCTGGGGACAGAGACGCCCTGCAGGCACCTCCGCAGCACGGGCGGTGCCAGCAGATGGGCACCCAGCCCCACTTCCTCCGAACTTGCTGAATTTAAACAAAAAGGAACTTTTGCATTTTCTCTGAGTGCTTCTGCATCTCAGCCTCCCCCGCCGGGCCCAGCACCCAGCAGCAAGCATCACAAGTCTCAGGCACAGAGCTCTCACTTCCTTTTTCAGTAAAAGCTCCCATTGCAGAGCAGCTCTCGGGGGTAGGGTGCGGGGAGCCTTGACCTTGGGGCTTTGAGGCCACCCTCGCCGGCCAGGCCAGGGCCTTCCCAGCCGAGCACGGGGTCCTTTCCTGACCCCTGGTGCCCAGGAGCTGCCTGACCCAGACGCACATGCACAGCGCTGCCCGAAAGCCTCGGCCCTGAAGCCCCACTGCGCCTCTCCCTCTGTGGGGGGCTGAGCATCGCCTGTGAGGAGAGAAGCCCCACCTCACGGGAGTCACCCCCAAAGATGGAGGACAGAGAGCGCACCCGCTCGTTGGGAGGGGTCCGCGCCACCTCGACAGAGCAGAGGGCAGCCCACGGCCACACGGCCTTTCCCGTCGGAGTCCGAGTCTGGGTTGAGTGTCAAACTCTCTCTCGCACAGAAAGCTCTGTCTTCGTGCGTCTGAACTCCCTGAGCAGTGGCAGAAACCCCACCGAAAAGCAGCGGAAACAGCGAGGGGTTAACCCCCTCGTCTGAGGGCCGTGCAGGCCCCAGCCCGCCCCTGCTCACACCCGTCCGGAAGCCCCAAGGGCCTGTGCCTTCCCCGAGTCCACCTCCCAGCAGCTCCTCGCTGACTCTCCCAAGGCCCCATGGGGTGGCCTGTGGCTGGGGGCTCTCTGATCGCAGAGCGATGGGCTGCCCCCCACTGAGAATCACCCAGGGCTCAGGTGGTGCCCCCTCCCACGCCCCCTCCTGGAGCTCACTGCTGCTGCCTGAAGCCAAAGCAGGCGGGTTGGCGAGCCAGGGAGGTTGCCAGGCAACCACGTCAGCCACCTTTTCAGCAACTGCTGTTCGCTTGGCTGGACACAGCCCCAGGGGTGCAAGGCCAGATTCACGGTGGCCTGGTGCCACCCAGAGGGCCGGTGGCCCCTCCCGAGGCCACGGCCACGCAGCCTGGTGCGGCCCCACCCACACGTTCCGTCCCCAACAGAGGCACCTGCACGGGCTCCCTGAGGCACATCCTGACGTCCCTTTCGTCTCCCCAGGACACCAGCACCCCCAGGGCACCCTCTGCGGCCAGCAGGTCAGCGGCCAGGCCCAGGGCCGGTCCAAGCAGTTGAGGTGTCCTGCGTGTCCACCCTGGGCTGTGTCAGGAAGGCTGAGAGAACTGTTTCAGTCCATACCTGCTGGGCGGGCACACGTGTGTGTGTGCACATGTACAGATGTGTGGTGCGTGTGCACGAGAACACGCATGTACACACACACCCCACCCCACCTTCAGGTCCACCCCACAAAAGAAGAAGCTCGTCCATGTCCCCAGGACAAACACAGCTCCTCCTCCGGGCCATCCCCGTGGCTGTCCCACAAACACAGGATGTGCTTCGTGAACCGTGATGTGACCTGTGAGTCGCCCTCACAGAAGAGCCAGTGCCGGGGGTTTTTGGTTTTTTTACTTGAAATTTGACACCAAACGGAGCCTGTTTCCACTTTCAGTGAAACAAAGCCAACCTTCCACAGAGCCTGCAACAGCGGGCCAAGCAGCTGCACCCTGAGCCGGGAGGAGGAAGAGGCTGAACCTGGCCCCGCCAACCTTGGGGACAAGGTGCAGGGCTGGCTGTCAGGTGCAGAGCGGCTGTGCGGCCAGAGGAGTCTGAGTCGGGGCCCAGGCCCACCGTGAGCAGCGGTCAGGACTTGGGTCCCTCCATGCCCAGCGGAGGCTGGAAGGGAGCCGGTGGGTGGAGCCTTGGCTGCTTCGATGCCTTGTGGCCAGAAGAACGAGGAGCTGACTTCAGGACGCTGTCCCCAGCGGGCAGCCGAGACCCCAGCCCAGCCTGTGGGTCTCAGGGCGTCAGCCCCAGGCCCCCAGCGCACACCCTCCACGGGGTGGCCAGGAAGGAGCGGCTGGTTCAGGCAGGGCCGCGGGCTCTCAGCCACCAGAAAAGAACGTTAGGGACAGAACCACAGGGACCCAGGAGGCATTCACGGGGCCGCAGACACACAGGGCCGGGAAATGAGGCCTCTGGGAACTGGCCCCTTGGCTGGAAGTGACCGCAGGAGCCTCAGGGCCCCACGCAGCGTCTGGCGCGGCTCCAACGGGCACCCGCCCTGTCTGTCTGCTGAGCCAGCCCCGGCCGCCACGCCGATTGTTTCGTAACACACACACGTGAGAGCACCCGGCCTTTCAGGCAGCGGCTCCCTGCCCCTCTCTGTCTTCGAGCTGAGATTTGATTGCTTTTTTATCACTAAATTAAATGTCTTCTCTTGCTTGTCTCCTTACATTAAATCTCTCTCTAAATCTTAATAGACTGCAGCGTCTCCCAGCAGCTTGGGCTGCTGATACGTGTGTGGGACTCGGGGCCTCAGGGCCGGGGCCGGGCGCAGGTGCGGGAGGGGAGCTGCCAGGGCCGCCGCCAGCTGCAGTCTGGAGGGTGCGGAGCTAGCCTGTGGCGCGAGGCCGGGGCACAGCCAGGCCTCGGGCTCGGCAAACCCCCTTGCAGGCTCCCTGCGGCCCCCCCGCCCCCACGCCTGCAGGCAGCTGCACACAGACCCAGGGACGCTCTTTGGAGACAGCTCGGATTCCCGAACAGCGGGGCGTGGATGTAAGACCCGCCTCTCCCTCTGGCGGACTTGCTGGGGGACTGGAGCCGAAGAAAGTGCGATGTTTCCGTCGTCTCACATCCTTCTTTTTTTTTTTAAATTCATTTTTTTATTGATTATGCCATTACAGTTGTTCTATTCCCCCCTTCATTCCCCTCCACCCTACCCCCCCGTCCCCACCATTACCCCCCTTTAGTTTATGACCATGTGTCTCAAGTTCTTTAGATTCTATATTTCCCATACTATTCTTGCCCCCCATCTATTTTCTACCTACTGTCTATGCTACTTATTTTCTGTACCTTCTCCCCCCTTCAACTCCCACTCCCCCGTTGCTAACCCTCCTTGAGATCTTCATTTCTATGTTTCCACTCCTGATCTAGCTGTCCTTTTAGTTTGCTTTTGTTTTAGGTGTGGTTGTTAATAACTGTGAGTTTGCTGTCCTTTCACTGTTCATGTTTCTTTAACTTCTTTTTCTTAGATAAGTCCCTTTAACATTTCATATAATAAGGGCTTGGTGATGATGAACTCCTTGAATTTGATCTTATCTGAGAAGCACTTTATCTCCCCTTCCATTCTAAATGAAAGCTTTGCTGGATAGAGCAATCTTGGTTGTAGGTCTTTGGATTTCATGACTTGGAATACCTCTTTCCAGCCCCTTCTTGCCTGTAAGGTCTCTTTTGAGAAATCAGCTGACAGTCTGGTGGGAACTCCTTTGTAGGTGACTGTCCCCTTATCTCTTGCTGCTTCTAGGATTCTCTCCTTCATTTGAATCTTGGCTAATGTAATGATGATGTGCCTTGGTGTGTTCCTTCTTGGGTCCAACTTCTTTGGGACTGTCTGAGCTTCCTGGATTTCCTGGAAGTCTATTTCCTTTGCTAGATTGGGGAAATTCTCCTTTATTATTTGTTCAAATAAGTTTTCCACTGGTGGCTGTGCCTTTCCCCCTTCTGGTACCCCTATAATTTGGATGTTGGAGCATTTAAAGATGTCCTGGAGGTTCCTAAGCCTCTCTTCATTTTTTGAATTCTTGCTTCTTGACTCTTTTCTGTTTGGCCACTATTTGCTTTCTTCTGGTCCACTCCATTGATTTGAGTCCCAGTTTCCTTTTCATCACTATTGGTTTTCTGTGCAATTCCATTCATTTCAATTAGTTTCGCCTTCATATGTTTGTCTAATTTGTGGCTATAATCAACCAGTTCTGTGAGTATGCTGATCACCAGTGTTTTAAACTGTGCGTCTGAGAGTTTTGCTATTTCTTCATGGCTTAGATTTATAGGCTCTAGGGCTTTGAGATCTTCTTGAGCCATTTTTGGTCTGATCGCGCTCCTTAAGTATGAGGTGCGGAGCCTTGGACTCTCAGGTCGCTGGATTATGACGCTGTATGTGGAGGCGGGGTCAGAGCAGGGAGATGGCGGCGCCCTGTGCTGCTGCTCACCGTGGGGCCTGCTCACTCCCTTGCTTGTCTATCCACACACGAATGCGCGACCACAGTCAACCCGCAGCCCTGCTCCCTCGCTGTTTCCCCACAGTCGCTCGCTGAGTTGCTCACTAGGTCCAACCCTGCGCCTGGATTCCGCACGCACCTGAGTCCGTCTGACCGAGTTTTTCTGTGCAACCCCGCTCCTCCAGCTGCTGGTTTCGCCCCTCTTGCTGGTCAGGCTGAAGAATTTGTTGTTATGAAACTTCCGAAAAGTTTAATTTTCTGTGTTCTGGCTGTGTTTTCTGTTCCTAATATTTAGTTGTCTCTAAACTTGGTTGTAAGAGAAAGTATGGCTTCTCCACCTATGCCTCCATCTTGGCAGAAGTCTCAACATTTCTTCACATCCTTGCTTCTTGATTCCACGGACTCCTAGGCCCCGGCTTTACATGGACGGTCTCCTCAGGCTGGCTGTTCAGGAAAGCTGTCCCTGTGGCCACCCACCCATTCTGCACCCTGCGCCCCCCATCCCCAGTGCGCACCAATCGCAATCCATCAGCAAAGAGACGCCCCAGGAATTTGAGACAAAGGGGCCAACATGCCGAGGCCCCCACCACCGGGAGAGGAGTCGGGCAGGGAGGGGACAGCCTTTCCCCCCGACACGTGTGCCTGCATCGGGAGAGGCACCGCCGCAACACGCCGAGTTTGTGGAGGGAGATTCCGGAGGGTGCCACATCCGGGTGCCAGCACAGCCTGGGTCAGAGGACATGGACAAGGGCCAAGGCGAACCCTGACCGACCACCCGCTCCACCTACACAGATCTGACTGCTCCAGGGCCTGCCATGCACGAGCAAGGGTCCAAGTTCACCCAGGAGGTGGGTCTGAGTGCACTGTCCCCAGTGTCTCTGGCACAACTGGGACTACCAAAGGGGCTCCGCCCTTCTCCAAGCTGCCTTCTCAGCAGAGAACATTCCCTCCTGTTGGGCTAAACGACATCCAGGGACCTTCGCACAGACTGTGCCCTGTGTCCCCACGTGGCACCCAAAGGAGCATGAGTCCCGCCATCCAGAGGAACCGCATTTGCCAGCCACCGCTTCCTGCCCACCTCGCTCCAACCAGCTTGATGTCCAGTTCTCAGGGTGCAGCCCAGGCAGGGAGGTGGCCGGGCGCTGGCCTGTGCGGTTGAAGCTGCCAGAGGTTTGTGAATGAGTCCCAGCTGCCATCCGTCCCAAACCAGGACGCGGCGCCTGCCCCAGGAGGGCCCAGTGGTGTGTCCTCCGTGGAAGCCAGCAGGATGCGGGCTGCAGGCGGCCAGGAGCTGGCTGGCCTGTTCCCCAATTATGGCAGCTGCCAAGGGGAGCCGTCCTGAGCACACACTGCCACCTCTGCTCCTGGGCCTGCTGGCAGGTCAGGGATGGAGCAGGAAGCCCTGCACCCTGGGGTGGGCCCAGGGGCAGCAGGGCCCAGCCCTCCTGAGCAGGAGAGGGCCAGGCCTCGGGGTCCCCAAAGGCTCAGGCAGCCCAGCCCGTTCCATCCTCGAGGTCGAGGCCCACCTCCCCACGGAGAAGAATGGGCGTGGTGCAGGCTGCTGGCTTCTCCTGCAGAGGGCCCTTTACCTTGTGGAGGTAGAACAGTTCAAAATCACCACCGACCGAAGAGAGAGGAGGTCCGAGGCCCCCTGTGCGGCCTGGCCCTGCCCGCCCAGGCCGATGCCTGGAACCACCTGTCCGCTGACCGAGTCACGCACACCGAGGGCTCACACCGGCTTCTCCAGGCTGCAGAGTCTCCCTGTTCCCTGCCCTGAGCAGAGCAAAGGAGACAGGCCGCTTCCCCAAGAGCCTGTGTCTGAGACTCGTGGGAACCCGGCTGAGCCAGAGGACCCCACGGTCAGAGGGGCTCTGGGTTCGCTCCCGAGCAACGCTGCTCCCGACAACGCAGTCACCAGCGTCCGAGTGTGGTCACAGGTCACGGTGGGGGGGGGGAGGCTGCCACCACAAGCTGCAGGTAGGAGCAAAGGACACGCCCCCCTAGACGCACTGGCTTGAACCTGGCGGTGTCCATCTGCAGGGACCCTGCGTCTCTGTTCCAGGAAGCAGTGGGACCAGCTAAGGGTCCAAGGGTTGGTGACTGGAGGAAGGAAAGAGATGGAGGTGACTTGCTGTCATCCGGCAGGAAGCTCAGCCTGTCTCGGCCCCTTCACGGCTGCTGTAACGAACTGTCACGGGTGGAGGGGAGGTTCTTGGCAACAGCAGGAACTTCTTTCTCACAGTTCTGGGGGCTGGTGTCCCCCCAGGGAGCGGCTCTGTGAGACAGGGCGGGGGTGTCAGCCGTGGGCCAATGAGTTACACGGGGGCCGCCCTGGGGGGCGCTGCTTAATGTATTTCAGGGGAAATGGGAGAAGCCCCAAAGCCAAGCGGGCACGAGCGTCTGGGCCTCGGGGTCTCTGACACCAAGCCCACAGCACCTGGGCTGGGTGCTGGGTGCTGGGTGCAGGCACTACACAGGGCGCCAGGGCAGGTCCCTCCGCCATCAGGGTCTCTCTCGGCCGAGCCATGGCCCGGCTTTGCCTCCAGCCTCCTGACCTGGAGCAAATGGCCGGGCAGGTCCTCACCAGCGTGGCCTCAGTTTTTCCTCCACACAGAAGAGGCTGGTTGAGGAAGTGCTCAGAGTGGCCTGGACACGTCCCAGGGCCGGGCTCGGGGACAAGGACTTGGGGCTGGGACGGGAGCCCTCAGACCGGGAGGGAGGGAGAGGTGGGCTCCTGGGCACCAAGCACTTTTTAGTAGCAGCTCAGAGATCTAGGCTATTGTCCCAGAGGCAGGAGACCTCGGACTTGAATGCAGGTGGTCTGGGCCCCATCTGGGTCTGGGAAAGGGGCGGGGCTGTATCAGGAGAAAGAGACACACAGACCGAAGCAGAAGCCAAGCCTCCACACGGAGGCTCAGTCCTTCACAGCTGCCAACCCCATCTGTCCTGCCCAGAGGGGGTGGAAGACCAGCCTCCTCTCCTCACCCCCGCCCCATCCCGCCCCACCCCACCCCAGAGCTGCCCACTCACCCTTCCCCAGGCTGCCCCCCCCAGGTCCTCCCGGCTGCAGAGCACCTCTGCCATCTAGTGGGCACATGTGGTTCTGCAGGCCCTGGGAGCCCTCTCTCCCCTCCCTGGTCGTCGGGAGGTGGCCAAGCCCAGCTCACCTGTCAGCAGGTGGCCCTTGCCCGTGGATACGTTCGCACCTCACTTCCTAGTTTGTTGT